AGAAGAGTGATTTATGCTCAAATCCTGCCAAGACTTTGATCAATATAGGGTGTCACATCTCGAGGGGCTCGTAGGGGCGGGGGGACTAGTGAGGCAAAAAGAAGGTGGCTAATACTTGTCTCAACAATTTACATGCAACTTCAGTGAAATGTAATAGAGTACACAAAAAATAATAGCTGATTTGAACTAATATAATCATTTTTTAAATTGTGTATATCAAAGGTGAATACCAAAAATTATGAGTAAGAGAACTCTGTGGGGAAAAACAGGCTGTCTTATAGTTTATTCTATATAATGTTCGGGGCTTCACAAAATTAAATATCAGAAGTACAAATCAAATTTCTTGCCTCAGAGCATTAACCAATAAATCATGGGTCAGAAAGTAAGGCAACTTCATGTGCACTTTTGATAATAATGACACTGATATTTTGGAGGACTAACTCCAAGGAAAACAAGAGGCTTGGAAGATTTTATCCAAATACCTCAGGAATTTGTATTTTGCCAAATAATTTGATGGAGAAGGTATATCCTAGGTTAGAATATCCTATTTTATTCAAACACTAGTTATCAAACTGTAATTTACTGTCATTTTTAAAGCATACAGAAATAAGTTGTAGAATCAAATAAACTTTCACGTTTTATGCCTAGTTTTCTAATTATGTCATATTCTTTTCAAACTATTATAAAATGAGACATTAGGTTTTATAGAAACCATTAATCTATTGTAATACAAAAACTTCACAAGCACAGTGCCTATTTGAAGTAATCCTCAAATTTCTCTGTCCCAAGTATCGCAATTATGTAGGAGATGTGAATCTGTATTTGTGCTGAAACTTTCTGTATTGATGCAAAAGTCCATGTCATCGAAAAGAAGGCAACAGGGGAAATGTTACATAAATATAGACTAGTTCAGTTTGCCATCTTTATGTAAAACTCCTGACAAAAAAAAAAAAGCCAAGAAATTGGAAAATATTTCATACTTATACTGAAATTTCATTCACATATTGGAAAACCCTTCAGTTTTCTGTCCATGGATGGTATCAACTTTTGAGACAAAAGAATATTGTTTGTGAATACATGTATGTATGTATGTGTGTGTGTGTGTGTGTGTATATATATATATATATATATATATATATATATCGTCTGAAAAAATAAACTGTAGTCTATTCAAGTTAAAAACTCTGCAAATCTAAGGCTATATACAATTTTAAATCATAATCGGGTTTGAAGGATCCAGAGACAAAGTCATCTTCTGATGATAATGAAAGAAATAAGCATTTTTAGACAACATGATAGATAGAGCAGGGTCATTTTTTATTACCTGAATTCACACACACACACACACACACACACACACACACTCAAACACACAAACCGAATCCTGACACAAATCTACATACAAACGATTGACTCATACTAACAGATACTAGGCCTTGTACATAATTACTTTTCTTTTTTTGTTGCTATTTAATGGTTAGCAGTTAATTAGCTGACCTCTGTTATAACAGCCAAGGTCATACAACTAATGTTTAGTTTTAAAATAATAATTGAAGGAAACTGATCAAGGTCAGACTTTGGCCTTTGACAAGTTTTAAATATCTTTCATTACATTTTCTTTCATGTTTTGAGATCTTTTCTTTCCAGCGTCACTATCTAGCAGGTGATAGTCTCTTTCTCATCTCCTTGTAGTAATGACAGATGGCTTCAACATTTATTCTAGTTTTCATAGATAGCATACTAATGCAATAGCCCCAAGCAAATTAAATGCACTCTAAGGTTTGCTACTAACTTACTGAGCCACTTTGAGTGAGTTTATGAACCTTTCTTTTCTTTAGCATCATTTTGATTCTTCAGATTCTCTGGTATGTAAATGCTATTAAGTCACAAAATTAGATACAGGTTCTGTAAAAAGCTGAGAGTGCTCAGATTTTGATGTTTCTCTCTCTTACACACATACTACACACACATTATTATAAATATATATATATTTATATTATTTGAAATCATTTGCTTTTTTACAGTTTCTCTGATACTCTGTAAAAATTATCCCCTTAGTTTTTAAGTAGCTAGAGGAGAAAGAAACCAAAGTGAAAAAAAAAAATCAATATATTTAGGTGAATTAAAAAAAGGATATTAACGGAAGGAATAAACTGGACTTGAATGCAAAAAGCAATTTTAATTTTATACTTTTAAAAGGCAAAACGTTTTAGGTTATTGCATACAAAGTTAAGAAACGAGAGAGTCACAGTGTAAAATTCATTACAAAGAAAGCAGTGTATTTTGATAAAAGGGAGTGCAACTGTGAGTCTTCTATTTCCTTAGTGACAGTTAGGAAAACCTAGGTGGGTACCTGCAACTATGTATCTCAGGTTTAGGACTACAATCTTTGTATGTATTTAAGTTTGAGCAAGCTTCTAGTTTCTTTAAGATAAAAATTAAATGGTATATCAACAAACTTTTCACCTTTAACTTTTATAAACTGGAAGTAGAGTTTTAGCACAATACATCGAATTGCCAGGTATTAAACACAGGTAATTGAAACATAATTAGAGTAGTGATGGATGTTTTTGAAGGGATAAACACTTCAAGGGATTTCATTTATCTTGGCTTTGCTTTAAACACCAGAGCTCTTGTTAATCTCAAGAGGGGGGAAACTTTTTAAAAATGTGTTAATAACTTTAGAAATACTCTCTAGCCATTAGGATGAAAAACTTCAAAGTCTAGGCCAAAATTCAGGAAAAAACAAAGATCAAGTTTTACATTGATTATAACATTGATTATAATGCAGCCATTGAAGGAAGTTTTCTAGAGCAATTGTATGCGTGTGAGAGAAAAAGAGACACAGAGAGCGTCATTGATTATCTAGAACAGTGTGCGCTATAAGCACACACAAAGAGGATTCCGAGGGGCGGATGTTAATTACCAAAGAGAAAGACAGTAGCGTTTCTCCAAGTACAGGATAAGTATAATTTTACAATCATATCTGAACTGCCTTCAAATTCCACCTTGCATTCCTCCTAATAACTCTGAAAATTTTTCTGCTCTGATTCAAATAGTTTCAGAAAAAAAAATTTGGACAAATATTTTATATCCTGGATGACCAGGGATTGTAATTATCTGAGTAAATGACGTGTAGTGAGTGATCTTGCGGCCCGCACCCCACATACACTCCCATCTTTACTACTACCTGCCCATACACTTGGGCACACGTGCGCGCGCATACACACACACACATACACACACACACTTAGCATTTACCCCCAGAATAGTTGAAATGAAGGTTCAGAATCCAGACACGCGCCCGTGCCCCACATAAAAAATGGCAAATAAAAATGGAAAATAATTTCTAGGTTGGTCACGATAAGTGACCAACTGCTAAGTTGCAGTTCAAGTCTGTTTCATGTTCATCCTTCTTGAGCACTAGAGAGGAGTCTCTCTTTCTCCAAGGAAGAAACCTACTGGCTTTTCCACCCCGGTTTCCTCTGGTCTTGCCTTACATCTCTTCCTTTCCCATTGCAGTTTGCCTAATTCTGCCAGGGGCACATACCAAGTCCATTATTTCTTCCAGTCTTTTAAACTCGTTTGGTGGGTACCAAAGTTTCCGCGCAAATTTTACATGCGGTTCCCACGTGCCCACTTCAGGTCTCTAACTTTCTCTGTTCGCTTTCTCCCGGCATCTCTGAACTTTTCCCTCTGGGCTTCCCTGTCGTGAACCGTGGGGGACAAAGCGGAACTGTGAAACCGGGAGGAAAGATCATTTTCTACCCCGAAACTGACAAGTTGCCCCACTCCCGCCCCCTCTCGGTAGATCCTCCCCCACTGAGCGTTCATTAGCATAAAACTGGTCAGGCCGGAGACGATCCTCCGCGCGCGCGCGCTCGCTGGGCTGGGGAAGCCGGGACACAGAGTATTGAGGCCCGCAGAGCATCCCCGTGCAAAGCGTGCACCTGCTCACTGAGTGAGCTTTTAACCTTAAAGGGGGAAAAAAAAAAGAAAAAAGAAAGAAAGAAAAAGAAAAGAAAGAATGAAAAGAAAAAGCAACAACAAAAAACCCAACCAACCACTTTGGACAAAAAGAGACAGAGGCAGAGGAAGCGCGACGGTCTTCTTTCCCCATCTCTCCAGTTCAGCTTCCAGGCGTCTCGGGCACCCGGTCACCTCCCCCTACACAAGGAAACATGCTGGTGCCCACTCTCTTGCCCCAGGGCAAACGTACCCCTTTATTTTCTTTGCACACGCACACGCTCACACGCGGACACACGCACACACGCGCACATGCGCGCACACAGACACCCCTCCCCTTGGCGGGCTTCCCTACAGGGTTTTGGGGCTAAACTGCGGGTGGGTCTCCAGGGATTGCCCGGGGTCTCTCGGCCTCGGGGTCGTTCCCCTCCCGACCTCAAAGTGCCCTCTTCGACTGTTGGCCCACTCCCTGGATTTTCCTAGCGTACTGGTCCCCTGGAGCGCGTCTCTGCACTTTCTAAACCCTGCGAGCCAGGGTCACGACCTCCTCCTGCCCCCGGGCCTCAGCTCCACAAAGCCGACCAGCCCGGCGGGTGCCCGGAGGCTCGCGGTGGAACCCAGGTCCGGAGGAGCGCACGTACTGGCTGTAGCGCCAAGAGGGGGTCCCCAGACGCCGGCGCGCCCCTGGAAGGGGGCTGTGGCTCCTGGAAAAGCGCAATCTTCCTCCTTCCCGCCCCCTCTGCCCTCAGGCTTGGGGTTCCCGCGTCTCACAGCAGCCAAGCCCTGGAAGCCAGGGGCGCAAGGGGCGGACCCGGCCGGAAGAGCCAGATCGGGGGCAGGGTGAGGTGCCAACTTCTCAGGGGGCCGGCACGACCGGTGAGCCCCAAGGAAGGAGCGGAGAGGGCCGCGCTCGCCGGGGCGCGCGGCTCGTGGGCGCGCGGAGCGAGCGGCGCCAGGAAGAGAGCGAGGGAAGGGCGAGGAGGAGAGTAAGAAGGGGCCGCGGGCTGCGGAGGCTACGACCCCCCGCTCTTTACCTTGCGTTGGTGCAGTCATTGTAGAGGGTCTCGAAGTCCTTCCTGGAGATGAGTTTGCAGCGGTTCACCCCGGGCTGGATTGCGCCCAGGCCCCTCAGGATGCGAACCTGTTCCACATTGCACACCACCGGCGTGATCTCCAGCCGCTTCAGCTTGGTGTAGACCGTGTGCAAGCCCCCCACCAAGTGCTTCAGGAACAGGTCGAAAGCCTGGGGCAGGCAGATCAGCTCGCAGCCCTCCACCGTGAAGGAAGCCACTTTGGCCCCCCTCAGATCCACCATTTTGCACTCATTATTCTGGGGGGTGTTTTCCACTGGGGACGGGGTAGAGTACACGGGTTTCCCGGGGAGGGGGCCGCAGCTGCTGCTGCTACTGCTGCTGCT